CTTAGAAAATGGGTGGGTAGCTGCCAACTCTGCCAATTAATCAGTATGGCCTTTTTTAAAAAAAAATTTTTATAGTTTTTTTTTTTTTCTTAGCTTTAATTTGTGTTTTAACCACACTTCCAGTGTCAGTGGAAGACTCTGGGGTCAATCACCATATCTGGGAGCTCTTTTGTGTTCACTGAAGACAAGGCCTGACAACTAGACCCTGATTCAAAGGACGTTTATCTAGGGATAGTTTAGTCCATGTTCAAGCTGTCCTGTGTCCTTACATTGTAGCCTAATGGTAGGTTGTGATAAGAGCTTTAAGAGAACACTGTCTAACTTTGCAAGTTAAATTAAATTGAAAAATGTAACATGAAAATAGTGAGGTTTATGGAGCTTTAAAATTATATATGATAATACAAAGTACTTTTTTTATGATAATGCCAGTTTAATAAGATTTACAAATGTTGTACATTTTACAATTGTGAACTAGAAATATGTAATGTCACATGACTATTCTATGCTGTCATGTAGTGTGTGTGTGTGTGCATGCTTGCTCGAGTTACATTAAACCCCTTTCCCCACTATCATCTTATTGTCCTTTCCCCTTCCAGAGTTATACCACTCCTTTAATACATAATAATAGACATGTGCAATTTGTTTCGTTCCAAATGTTAATTTAGACAAATTTTGGGCAATTCGTACATTCGGATACCTCCGAATGTTCGAAAGCTGAATTGCTGAATTTCCAAAGTTTCCAAGGTGTCGAAGTTCCAAAGTGCCAAAGTTCCGAAGCACAGAATTGCCGAAGTACTAATATACCCAATGGAAGAATGGAGAATGTTACACTGTATACCAGTTTAAATAAAAAGTATACAAACATAGCCAGGATTCAGCTGTAAGCTTTTGCAACACTTACAACAATCAAGTAACACGTTCAAATAAAATGTAAGTTACTTCCATTACAGTCAATGGATGGGAATGAGGAAGTAGATAACTCCCTAATTCCCACGGTATTAGGATGCTAGCTACCAAAAGATTGAAAGACCTAAATTGGTCTTTCAGCCAAATTTACTAATACTAAGTAAGTATTACTTAGTATTAGTAAATTCTGCCCCTACTCGCTGTATCGCGAGTAGGGGCATGTCTATTAAACAGTGAGCAGCCTATGGCTGCTCACTGTTAAAAAACACACACAAAAAATGTGTCCCCCCTCCCGAGCCCCCACCTGTACCACACGATTGGGGGCTTTTAGAGTGAAGGAGGGACCTATTGCCCCCCCATGAATCAATGCATCTCTATCAATGCAGAGCGTGGAGACGCTGAATGGCAGTGCTGCCTACTGTGCAGCACTGCCCCAGGAAGCACCTCTAGTGGCCATCGGAGGAGTGGCCACTTGGAGATGACCCTAGGGGACAATGTATACACTACCTTTTCTCTGAAAAGTCAGTGTTTGCATGAAAATGCCTGTAGATTATACTCACCAGAATCATTAAGCTGTTGTTGTTCTGGTGGCTATAGTGTCCCTTTAAGTAAGACAGAGTTTACTACAAAAATTGCTGTACTGTGTTGCTCATCCTCTTATAAAAACACTAACTCACAAAAAATACATACACATATAACTCACAGGCTAACACATTTATTGAAGGATTTTCAAAAATTTTTAAACCAAATTTACAAGTACAGTGTGTACATATACTGTATGTATTTATTTGTATGCACATGTCCCAATCATTGAACTACGTGATAGCTCACAAAGGATTAGAGAAGGTGTAGTGCCAAAACAAAAATAATTTGTTACTTGAGAAGAATCTGAAAATTCTAGATTAGTATTCTACTGAAAATATATTTACACTGTTACATAGACTACCACTGGAAAAAAAAAGGTTTGCTCAGCTTGATGAAAACCAGCAATTTCAAAAAAAATATTACATTCTGTCAAGGTACGGAAACATTTAAACATAACTGCTACAAAATGCTCTTTCACATAGGGGAAACGTGTAATTTAGTCTTCAGAACATATTATCCATGATAGAAACTCTGTAATAATGCACTAGTTCGGGAAAATGTTGGTAATTTTATAGCAAGCTCTAAATCATGGCTAACTTTTATTCATATAAAACTGAAACTGAAAAAAAAAAATCAGGAAATATTTGACTTCAAATTTATTATGAGACGTAGAGTAATCATATTGATCTAATAATCTAAAGCGACACTATATCAAAAGCATTTATTATTGATTATATAAATGATCTCATAAAAATACCTTATATATTGGCTTCTTAGCATGACAAACATGTTCAAAGTACACTAATAGGAGAAACATAAACAGTAGAGTTGAGCGAACATTACGTTCATTACGTTCAAAACGAACATTACGTTTTTTGGACCCCAGACCTGAACACGGACATATCACTGTATGTTCGGGTTGGAGTTCGGTGTTCTGCGATTTCATAGGGCGTTTTCAAAGTTGCGTAGTGCCGCACGCACATGAGGTCTTATTAGTGTAGGGAGAGGATGCTGCCGCTGATAGGGAATGCACTAAGAATGCAGCTTCAAAATGGATGCTGTCCAGGAGTTGGGAGGGTCTGGGAGGGAGGGTCTGCTGCTGATTGGCTGGAATGTGTCTGCTGACTGGAGTCCGTGGCGAACCGTTCGCGGCAAACCGCGGTGAACCATTCGCGAACCGTTCGGCGAACCGTTCGGGACATCACTAGTGCTAATCTGCTAAATAGTACATTTGCGGCCTGCGGTTCACTTCATATGTGAGAGTCAAGTAGAAGCGTCAAATACTGCTGTCACTTTGCAGTTTTAAAACTTTAAATTTTTTGGGTGCTAAACTGCTAAATAGTATTTTAGTGGGGTGCACTTCATATCTGAGAGCCAAATAGAAGCGTCTGATAGTGTGCTTACAGAGCAGTGGTAAACATTCTAATTTTCTGGGTGCTAATCTGCTAAAAAGTAAATTTTGGGGCGTGCACTTCATATCTGAGAGTCAAATCGAAGCATCTAATAATGTGCTTACAGCGCAGTGGTAAACATTCTTATTTTCTGGGTGCTAATCTGCTAAATAGTACATTTGTGGCCTGCGGTGCACTTCATATGTGAGAGTCAAATAGAAGCGTCTAATAGTGCGCTTACTGCGCAGTTGTAAACATTCTAATTGTTTTGCTGCTAATCTGCTGCTCACATTGGAGTTTTAAAAAGTCAATATAAAAAAAATTGGGGTGCTAAATAGTGTATTTGGGGTGTGCACTTCATATCTGAGAGTCAAATAGAAGCATCTAATAGTGTGCTTACAGCGCAGTGGTAAACATTCTTATTTTCTGGGTGCACATACCAGGACCCTGATGCAGCTTCAGTAAAAAGAGTACTGGATACCAGAAGCCATCACCAGACTGATCCGCAACTTGGAACATGATGTGACATTCACTTTGGGGCGTGCACTTCATATCTGAGAGTCAAATAGAAGCGTCTAATAGTGTGCTTACAGCGCAGTGGTAAACATTCTTATTTTCTGGGTGCTAATCTGTTAAATAGTACATTTTGGGGCCTGCTCTTCATATCTACAAGTCATGCTACAACAAAATTAAACAAGTTTTAAAAGATGTATGGGCCAACCAGTGGCTGTAAAAACAAAGTTTTACTGGTTACATTCATGACTACACACTCTAGTCCTTTCATGTGCTTTTCAGATGTCATATTGTGAATTACCAATTTTTGTGTAGCCAGGTTTTTTTGTTTGTTTTTTAAGTGAAAAATAAGTGTTATTGTGATCGCTTCATATACAGAAGCATTAATATACATTTCTATATTGTGTAAAGACACAACTACAAAGTTAAAAACCAAACACCAAAACAATGTGCCAGACAATCTACCTGTGCATGGCTAGTGTGATACAATAAGTCTGCATCTTAAAAATGCAATAACCCACAGAAGATGGGCGAGAATTTTTTTTGCAAATGGAACTTTGATTCGAATTTACTACATCGGTCACTTGTAATATTGTTTCATGCCTACAACACTTGTTACACAGATCTAAGTGATAGAAAACAGATTGATATTTTCTACACTAGAAACTACCAGATAACAAGCTGCTATATTTAAACCAGTTATCAATAGCTAAGAGGTACTTAAACAATATTGTAATTCTGGGGCAATACCCTCACAAGTCAAACTGAGAGGTCAGTTTATAGGGAAAACCGTTGCCTGGATACAATTCTAAAACAATTTCCATATGTCCTTTGCATACTTTACATGCTGGAAAAACACAGGTGCCAACTGCTGTGGCTTTCTGCAGTGTGCATACCGGCAAGGAGGGCAGGGTTGAGGAGTGGGTGGAAGATGATGTGGAGGATGATGAGGTCCTAGACCCCACATGGAATCAGGGTCATGCGAGTGATATGTGCAGTTTGGAGGAAGACGCGCTGGTCGCACAGAGGCACCAGCACAGCATAAGAGGGAGCAGGGTGCAAAAGCGGAGCGGCCGTCCCTTAGCGCTCGTCGGCATGTATTAGCTCGAGAATTACCAGTTATCCAAGTAATACATGTAGCGATCAAAGGATCCATAATAGAGTTGAGCGAACCCGGGTTCGTACCAGATTTAACGATCCATTTGTAGTTTCACAGTCAGGTGGGCAGTCCAGTGACGAGGACCCAGACACTGTCTGGGCTGCGGTCAGACGACCGGGACCCAGTATGCCTGATGTTGAAGTTAGGAGTCACAGTGTGGAATGGATTAGCAGGGCCTGGTGCAGGGTAACCGCACGCCCCCTGGTGTTGAGCACCAGCGTTTGTGCGGCCACATACCAGGACCCTGATGCAGCTTCAGTAAAAAAGAGTACTGGATACCAGAAGCCATCACCAGACTGATCCGCAACTTGGAACATGATGTGACATTCACTGTAGCGGCTATGCGCGCTTTTGGCATTCTCACCCTGCTGTTGCTCGCCTGTCTGCGCTGCAGTGTAACTTCGGCCTTCCCGCTCACCACCTCATGAGACTGTTTGAGCAGCAGCAGGCGATAGTGGAGTTTCAGCTGCAGCACGCACGGGTCAGTGGCTCTGCACCAGACTTCCCTCCAATTGATCAGAGTTAAAGGATTTCAAGTGGACTCATTACAATTACAGGGCCTCTAAAGAGTCCTGTATTGTTATTTGTCGTCACTGCCCGTTGCCTTCCTTGCATGTGGTAGCCGTTTCTCAGGGTCCCTGTACGGAATGGAACCCTGATTCCCCGTTACCCGTGGTCACCATGGTAGGCACAGAAACTGGCATTAAAAGTTGATATGGATGAAATCCAAATGCAAAGTCGCCATCACAGGGATGTGCGATTGGCCCGAGGTTCTCTAGAGTCAACAAAGTGCCTGCGCAACTATAATGTCAACAGCTACTCTGTGGAACAGAGTTGTCTTTTTTATATGTCCGAATATTTGGGGGGCTACCCCAATAAAAAAAATATATATATATATATATATATAAAAAACAGTGTTGGCTACCTCATCCTCCTCCTCCATCGCCGCTTCCACCTACATCGCCACGGTCACCGCCTCCTCAACCTATGGGTCACTTAGTATAAACTATGTACACATTAGCAGAGGCTTGTGAAGGCCTTTTCTCCATGCATCAGGAGTTGAGCATTTCTCCATGCATCAGGACTGCAAGAAATACACCGCAGGCCGCAAATGTTTCTTTTTTTGTATGTCCCAATATTTTGTGGGCTACCACAATTAAAAAAATTTAAAAAAACATAAAAAACAGTGTTGGCTACCTCATCCTCCTCCTCCACTGCTGCTTCCACCTACACAGCCACGGTCACCGTCTCCTCAACCTATGGGTCACTTAGTATAAACTATGTACACAATAGCAGAGGCTTGTGAAGGCCTTTTCTCCATGCATCAGGAGTTGAGCTCAGTTTGAACAATGAAAGAGTCTGCAGTCCAACCCTCTCTCAAATGGATAATTCTGGTGGTCCTCCTGACAGCCATGCTTTAGATTTTGATTTATGTTCTTCCAAAACTAAAATCAAAGATTCCATCTAGTGCTATTTTATGGCTCAGCTGTATTTTTAATTTTTATTTTAAGTGATTTCCCTATCCAAATTTGTTTGCAGCGCACTTGTCCTACTCTTACCCCCATTTTACTTCCTTTTGCAGGCATTTTTGTGGCCAAAAGTTCGGGTCCCCATTGACTTCAATGGGGTTCGGGGTCAAGTTCAGGGCCAAGTTCGAGCCCGAACCCGGACTTTTTTCAAAGTTCGGTCAAACCCGCCGGACCCAAACATCCAGGTGTCCGCTCAACTCTAGTAAACAGGTTCATTTCAATCCAGCAAGTTTCAGAGCAGTGCTTTTAAACTTTCATGATGCTTACATGTATCTAGGAGTAACTTTAATAATAAGCCAATAATGATTATAGAGTGTTCATTTAAAGCTGGTGAGATAGCTTAGAAGCTAAATGTTCTGACTGCAGTATCTGCAATCAGGGTTCAGGATTTATTGCCTTCAAGCCTCCTAGAAACTTCCTCCTTCGAAGGTAGATATAATGAGTACCATTAAGCTGGGTTATAGTTATATCTGTTTATCCACTGCTAATTTGTTTAATCGAGTGTTTGTTAAAAAAAACTCCAAGTCCATGAAGGAGAAAAAGACTTTAGTACTGAAAATGTTGGCACTTTTTAAAAAAAATAATACAGATAATTATAGTATTATATATACAACCTAATTATAATTACATCATCTTTCTTTATTAAATCCCTTCAATTTTAGTTACATGGTTTCTCCTTGCACAGCCCTATAGATAGGAAGTTGTAACTGATAGTATAGGCTTCTTATTGCCCTAATGGGTTCATGAAGTTAGTAATGTTTTCTTTGTTTTTTTTCCTACCAGTTTTTTTTTTTTAGGGACTACTTTTTCTTATGGTGATTGTTATCTTTAACAATTTTTGGCAATGGGGAGGAGCTTAAGCAATGATCCATTTTAGTTGCTTATCAAATTAACCCAGAATCCATCAATCAACACAATCACACACACTGGGGTAACTACCTAGGTCGTAACGGTCGCTATTGCAATCGGGCCATTGGAATTCCATCTGTCAAGGGTAGTTAGACCAGTTAGCCCCTTTTGCAGTATGTTAAATAACTCTTAGGGTTCACATGGGAGCTATTGGTAATCCTTGTTGTGTCTTATATTGTACACACATCCACTCTCATTACATGGGGAACTCTTCTTTGATTTAATCCACTGGGGCCACTAATCTCAAACAGAAAGGCAAACTGCTGATATCCTGGACACAGGAGAACAAAATGGAGGTGCCCGGTAGTTAAGATCCAGCATAGTCGAGAAAACAAAACTTTAAATAGAAGCAAGTGTCAATGATGGTATATACTCATTAAAATACAAGGGGCAAAAGAATAATGAAGAAAAAAACAGTGGTGCTTTCATTTTTTTTTTGGGGGGGGGAGAAATTTTGTTTGGAGAAATATTCCAACTTTGTAGCCTGATGAATATAACTCTGAATCAGAATATGACATGTTTGCAAAAAAAAAAGTTACACAGCAAAACAACCTCTATACTGACATTTAAAGCCAGCAAATGCAGTGTTAAAATGTGTACAACAAATTAATTGAAATTAAAATTAAATTGAAACTCCCTATATGTTATTTATTTCAGTGGACCAATTAATACCACAGTATTTTCATTCACGGGTAATGTAACACACTTTTACACTTAGTAAAAAAACTAGTAAAATATTGGTGGCGACCGACTACCCCGAGCCAGAACCAAAGTTTTCTAGATGCACCTCTACCAAGATCTATGTAATTTACTGTACGATCTGTGTAATATTTTCATTGTCACGTCAAGAATACTGTCAATAGGAATGTTCTTTCATGTTCTCTGAAATCTTTTCAATAAAAAGAAACATGTGAAAAAAAAAGGGCATTTAAAAAAATGGCTTCCTGTCTGCTATAATTTACTGAACTTTGGCTCGGCTTTTGTTATCTGTAATACCATATATATCCACTGGGAGGTGTCTAATAGATAACACTAAATATTTTTACTGTTGTGACACTAGTGCTACTATTCTGTATTTATCGTCCTGGTCAGTTATTTTATAACAATATGTTTGGGTCATTGTTAAAGTGTCATGTAACTAGTCCATTACATTGACCCATTGTCTGAAAGTTGCCATTCTACACTCAGGCCAGCAATGCTAACTTTCCCCAGTGGCAGCATTGTAATCTGCAAAGATGGTGTTCTGTAGGTTGCTGTATGCATGAATATAAAACAATTAAGGGCCACATAATGCGAAGCAAAAGTGCTCAGAATACTAGACTAGGGGACTATTATCAATGCTGTACTCCCCAAGGTAATTTTTATTAAAATTAAAGTTTACATCTTAACATTTGAAGAAAAGTGCTCAAATGTTCTTTACTAAAAAAGCAACATGATCTGAGAAATGATATGTTAAATTTAGAAAACAAGAATTCAAAACTTGCTGCATCTCCTGTCACTACTCTTCCATCTATAATAATAAGAGGCACAGAGGTTTAGATTTACATAAAATTAGCTTTTGTTTTAAACAATGTTCCTGTCCCTTTTTTTTTTCTATTTCGTTCTTACGCTACACCTATAACCTACTTTAAAAACACCTGTTTATTAAGTCTGCCTGATTTAGTCATTTCTACTGTCCTAGAATACAGTTTCTGAAAAGGAGGGCAGTGATCACATCATATCCAAAGGCAATTTATATTTTTTAAATGACTGTCCTTCTATGAAAGTTTAAATTAAAAAAGCAATCAATGTTTTAAATATTTTTTTAAATGTTGCTACCATGTTAATTCCTAAAATATAAAAGTTTCTAATTGTTACTGTGTACATCAAAGACAAAATATTCCAGACACCTTCATCAACTGCAACACCCCCGGCTGAACGGGCCACACTAGGGATGCACCAGCCCTCCACCGCGGGGCGCAGGTAGGTCGGAAGACTGACACGCGAGCTATATATACTCGCACGCCGGGACTTTCTCCTGCAGACACCGCTGACCAGGTCTTACCTAGTATGCACCCCTCAGATGAATCTGAACTAATGCTACTTTCTGTTACTTTATATTTTAAGTTTGCATATATTACATGTCCAGTTAATAACAATAGGTCGCTGACTTAATGCCATGCCTACAAGGAACCGTTCACAGCCAGCTAGGCAGGGTAGAAACGGATCTAATTGCACATGTTAGAATTAAAGCTTGTTGATAGACCGACGCAGGGTGACCCTACCATAATCCAACTCAGTGGATGGGCGATGCTAGCCAGCACTCGGAATGTCTATGTACCTATAGTATGTTCCTAGCCTATGTTTTCCATGCCTACTAGCCTAAACACCTACAGCATAAAGTGACTACGCATAGTTATGTAAACTTAAGGATATAACTGTTCAAGCCTGTTTATAGCTTAACTTCACTATTGAAGACAATGCTTAAAGGACGTATCTACTAATGCTGATACTTGCATGTCATATATCACTAGATTGTCTTATTACGTTTGTAAATTTTAAAAAAAAATGTGCTTTCACCTCAATGCCACATATGTATAAATCTGTGATATTGCTGTGATTATGTTTGCTGTTGTGGCAACGTATATCATCTTGTCAAACCATGCACAACAAAAATTAAAAATTCAAAAAAAATTTCAAAGACAAAATATTCTGTATCAGAAATGAACTGAGTACTCAGAATGGACAATTACTCAGTCTCACCTTCAGTTAGTCCTTACTCAGGTGTCAAATGTAAGCTCCCATGTACCATTACAGAGAAAAACTATACCATTTACATATCAGAATGATCCAAAACACAGGTGCAAGAGCAAGGGGCCCCTGTATGGCACAAGGCACTAAAACCTTCCCTACAGCTTTTCTGTAGACTACAGTTTCAAAACAATAAGTCATATATTAACTCGATTCCATTAAATTAGTGAATTAGGTTAAAATGCTTGACCTTAATACACCATACCCAGCCAGGTCAAGACGGAAGCACTGTGGATCGCATGCTGTACAATTATTAACATATCTGATTATATTATTGACTAATGTACAATATAGTAAGTAACATGCACTGTATGGTCTACAACAGGACAAAAAATACAACCCAGAATACCCTAAAATAGACCATTGACATGGACTAACAACATCTGAAAAAGCAATAAAATCACATAATAAACACTTACTGGTATTACTTATTAATGGATATATAGAAGAAGAACAAGAACTTACTTCTGTTTCCATCAACACCCAGAAAGATGTGCAGTAAACTTGTAGTTCTTAATAGCCCGTGCAGTCCAGTATGTGGCCCACATTACTGCCCTTAAGTTCCCTAGTGTGACAGGTAAATGCTGGACCTTCAACACACAATTGAGAAATGTAAGTAAATTTAGCAGAATCCTGGAAAAAATCAGATTGTTCACTTTAATAAAGAATTGTTGACAATCAGTAAAAAAATGGATTGACTCATGGATTAATTCTTTTGTGTGTATGATGGCCTGTATATAATGGCTGTAT